TATATTGGAAATCAAATTTATACTGAAGAAAATTTGTATTGGAAATTTATATTGAACAAAATTTACGTTGCAAAATTTATGCTCCAAATACGATTCCATAATTCATGAATTAGACAGAGAATTTATTATATTTGATTAAATCTTATTTTTAGGAAGAAGAATAATAATTTTAGAACAGAATGTAAATCTTGTGAATTTCTTGTGGTGTGAAATTTTTTGTTAAGAAAAAACTACAAATAGCATAGGTTTTTGTACCAGAATAATTTTTTAAAATATCCAAATAAAATTGAAATTCAAATTTAAAATATCTAAAGAAAGTTGAAATTGAAATTTGAAGTATCTTTTAAAAGTAGAGATCTAAATTTGAAAGTAAATATAAAAGTTGAGAGTGTCTTTCAACTCGAAATAAAGAGTAGTAATTTCATTTAGCAAAAGTATCGCATTTATACGAGCTGTAATGGAATGAATTACGCGACGAAGATACACGATGCAAACAAATTAATATCACGGACCAGATGACGATGACCGCTCTATCATTATCCAATAAGCCACTTTGTTCCCCGGTCTTTATTTTGCAATGCCATCTTAATAATCCTCCGTGGTTAATACATTGTTGACCAATCGAGAGGAACCACGTGCATAGTTAATAAAACATTGTCGATAAAGTGTCTTCAGTGAATTTATATGTATATTACTTATTCAGTGAACTATAATATATAGTTCATTACAACTATATTTATATAGTTAATTATAAACCAACTGTTTATTCTCATAATTTAACTTCATCTGTATTAAAGAATGATTAAAAAATAAAAGTAAAAGCAACGGTAAAAAGAATGATTGGTAAATGTGATTGATTAATGGAACTCAAGTACTCATTTTATCAAAAGTATATAATAAGAAACAAGTGATTTGAACGATTTTGTACATACAAAAAGAAACTATTTTTGTTACTAAAATAATTGTAAGTGTCACTAATAATTGTAAGAGTACGTAAATATAAGAACGAATTTCACCTACTCGTCCAGTCGGAGTCCTTTCCAATCAAAATGGCGGCCTTCGTTGACAAAAGCATCATTCTTTCGAAGAGAACGCTTCATAGAGTAGAATACATTAGTTTTGACAATCGAATGATGGACAGTTGTGCAATTTAAAATTATGAAACCGGTTCGAGCTCGTACGCCCTGCTATTTGTGTGATGAAACTGTGATTAGTTCAGCGAGTCGCTTGAGTTAAGCATCAAGTTAGTTTCGTGTGCTGTGCTCTTTCGGTCTCAAAATCGAACGTCTTCGAACGATGACGTATATTATAAATTGCTGTGTCACGGGTTAATTAATTAATTTCCAAAACCCCTTCGAAAAAATTGTGAGTCATTAGTCGGACGTTTATTAACGCTTTCGTGATCGATGAGTTTAGACTTAACGTGATGATAGAACGAATGCTAGATGATCGCCGGGAGCCAATCTGCAAATAGTTATGATCGATTATTCGTATGTTAGTATCGATTACGTCGGATATGGGGAAATGAAGATCCGATTTTGTCCAGCATGTGTACGCTAGCGAAATTAGATATATTGGAGGTTATGGTGCTACTATATTTTGTACAAATGGATCGGTGCTGTGAGTAGAGAAGTAGATTAGAGTATTAGATATTCTCTGAATATTAACACGTTCGTGACTTGTAAGTGGATTTATCTGACAAGTGCATTATTCGGGATGATCATTTGTCTTATGGGACTCTAGGGAACCATTTTGTAAAATTATATCTAATTCTGCAATTTACAAACTTCTATGTGAACTGATCTAATTACCACATTTCTGAAATTATGAATTTACGAATGTAAATATTTAAAAATTTTTAAATATTCATATCTTCAAATTACCAAATTCTAGAGTTGAATTTCCCAATGTTTATGTATACAAATTTATGAATTCTAAAATTGTCTAATCTTTTAAATATTGATCTCCAAATTTTCAAATTCTAAAGTCATTAAATTTTCATCTTCAAATTTGCAAATTCTAAAATTGTCAAATTTTCAAATGAACCTCTAAATTTCCAAATAGCAAAGTTCACAGGTTTCCAATTTATAATCACATTCCGTCAAAAAACCTTAAAGCATGAATTCTCCAAAACTAGCAAACTATAATTTTGGAACCATAATGATTACCTCTGGTCCACAATTAAAGTTTGATCTCACAATCCGTGTACCAGAAATTGTACCCTTGACAGATATTCTCTGCACCCATAGTCACGACACATCGATCAAGATATAATAATAAGCCTTGATCAGTGATCATGTTAACGGTTTGTAACATTCTCTGCAGTGTGCGTTTCATATCGTTAATAGAAAAAAATGGAAAGGGAAATGACCGTATGAATGATAAAAACTGAATGAACGTATATCTACGATACATGTTTATAATATGTACATCTTAAGGTATCTAGAAATAAGAATATAAAAGCTGGTGTTAACTTATTGTACACGGTTCTGCAATCAGACTTCGTTTATTCATACTGCATTGAACAATAAATTAATTAACATTATAATAAATTAATACAAAAAGAACACTGCGGTACGTTATCTACTAAGACCGATTACGAGCGAGGGTAACGCTAAAAAAAAGGCTGAAGAAAGGAAGCGATACGAATACTTACAGTAATTTACAGATTCACTTAAACGTATTCCATGCGTTCTCAGTCGCGAGATTCTACTAGTGAATTTATCAAACGCCTACGCGAGAACGATAAATCCTGTTCTCTGCTGTTTGTTTACATTCGCCGTTTAATATTGCAAATCATCGACTGTACAGTTACTCGAAATTAACATCGACGAAAATACCGAACGTGTTCGTGCGACGCGAACAATCTCTTGCGATCCGCTGCTTCTTTTCAAGCAGATTCTGAACGGACTTCAAATATCACCGTTAGCGCTGTTCAAAACTTTTCGGTTAAATCAACATGAAATTACTCTGTTGTAAGCATTGCAGTCTTGTACAAAATCTAGCGTTGATTTGTGAATACTTAAGTATTTCGGTTTATGTGAGCTCTAAAATTCTGGGTACTTAAGTATATGGGTATCTGAGTCACTTGGTTTTCAAATTCATAATACGTAAATTTTGAAGGACCCAGTATAAACTTAATAACTGAGATATGTGTCAGTCCTTTAGTACTTAGGTCACGAAATACCTGAGTACTTGTAGGTACATATATAAGAATTTATATACCTATATTTATATACCAGATATACCTAAAGATTTGGATACCTAAATACTTAAATACGTAGGTACATGAACACTTTCATATCTAAGTACCTAAATATTAAAGTGTCTAAGTATCTCAGTACCTAAGTACCTAAGTACCTAAGTACCAGAGTACTTAAGTATTAGAGTACCTAAGTCCTTAAGTACCTAAGTGGCTAAACACCTAAGTACCTAAGTACGACAGTACCAGAGTATTGGAGGACCAGGACACCTAAGTACCTAAGTACTACAGTATCTAAGTCCTTAAGTCCCTAAGTGGGTAAATACCTAAGTGCCTAGATACCCAAGTACTTAACTACCTAAATACCTAAGTATTTAAATATCTTAGTACCCAAACACTTAAACACCTAAGCACCTAAATTCCTAAATACCCAAATACCCAAAATACGAATGTACCTGAGTACCTAAACTCCTCCCAAAGTATTTAAATACCTAAATACTTGAGTACCTAAGTACCTAAATATGTAAGTACCGAAGTACAACAGTAATGAAGTACACAAGTACCTGAATGCTTAGTACCTAAGTATCTAAGTACCCAAATACTAAAGCACCAAAGTACTTAAGCTTCCGAAATACCAACGCAACTGCATACCTAAATACCTAAGTATCTAAATACCCAAATATTAATACTGATCTGAGTATCTAATTCTACTGAGTATTAGTTTAGGTACTTAGGACTTTAATTATTTAGACACTTAGGTACTTAGATTCGTGCGTAATTGGAAACTTAATTACTTAGGTATTCAAGTGCCTAGAAATACTGTAGTTCTTAAGTATTTAAGGACCTCGGATCTTGTTTGGCCTATTGGCATTTGTATAGTGATAGTTGTATTTCTTGTGCGAGTACTTAGGTCCTCAAGTACTTGGGTGGTTAAGTATGTAGGTACTTTGACAGATTTCCACACGTCTGTGTTCTTGAATACTAAGTTTCTGAATGTTTTCAAGCATCTCTTAAGTATCAAATGTCTTCGTAGATTGCTACGTATCTAAATAGCTAAGTACTAGTATTTATTTAAACGCTACGTTCTTTGAGTATTAATCTTTAGACACTTGAGTACTTACTTAGATATTTAGGAGCTGAGGTACTTAGGTACTTAGATATTTAGGAGCTGAGGTACTCAGGCGCTTAGATATGTATTTAGGTTCTCAGTTACTCAATCAACTTTATTATTACATACCTCCTTTTCTGGATCTCCAAAAACTTAAATACTTAAGTACCTAAGTATCTTCGTACCTAAATACCCAAGTACCGAAGTAAATGAGTTTTTTTCACGGAAATTAACATTTTTGAGTATTAATTTGTGTACTTGAATAATCACACAATTAGATACTTAGGTACAGATTCTTAGGAACTCGGGTATATTTAGGTACCCGTGTAATACTCACGTATTAGCAATCAAATCATTTTTACACCTATGATTAGGTCAACTGCAATACTTGAACATGAGACCCAATTACTTTGCTCAACCACAAAATCCTCAAACAACACTAACGGTGACAATGCAAACCATGAAAGTCTTAAGGATCTTACATTTTTTTCGAATACACAAAATGTCTCAGCAACTTCGTTACGGAATGATATCTTCGTTATTGTTAATGACACTAGAAAATGCTGATTTATCTTAGCGTACAATTTATTTTACTGACGATATATTGAAATATAATTCTATGTATTATAGTTGAAAATTTTTGTAAAATTATAAAATTTGATCGATGCGAATAACCATTAAATAAAAAACATTAAAAACTTCACATATTACTTTCAGTCCAAATTAAAAATCAAGAATTAAATATAATTACTTACCACATTAAATTACTCAACGTTATTAATTTATACAAATTAATAGTTTCATTTTGTAGATATTTACTATTAATTTAAACGTCAAGGAACTAGTAGATAAACGTTCTAACATTGAATTAACTCTTGCTGATCTCCATTGACGTACTCTTCACTGGTATACTCTTCAATAAGAGTTTCTGTCTTAAAGTAAATAATTGCCATTAATTCTTTAATCATTTCTCTGTATCGTTAATAATAACGGAGACATTGTTCTTCAACAATGTTACCGAAACACTTCGTATACAGGGTGGTCCAAGAAAAGTTAACGCTCTCCATTGTTTTTGTGGATATAAGAAAACTTTATTAGCTAAAGTTTAGAAGGGACCATAATATAGTAGTAAAAATTTATTTGCGGGTAAAGTAGTTTCGGAAGCTTGAAGTTCACCTCCATTTTTTAAACGAAATTTCATATACGATGTGCAGATGTGTATTTGTCATAAAAAAGTGTATTATGCATATCCAAAAATTATTTTGACTTTAATTTTTTAGAGTTCTATATCTTTATGTTTCTTTACTTTTACATTTCTCAGCAATTAGATTAACAATTACATTGCATAGGGTTAATCAAATATTCCGTGACTTCTTCATATAGGGATGTTCAAGAACCACCAGAGATATACAATAAAAAATTATTGCATTATATGCTCTGATAAATTATGAAATAATTTAACAATAAATTCTGAAGTGACTCAGTCATGATACACAGAACTGAATGAATGCCAGTGATGGATATATTAACCAGAAAAGAAGTAACATAATGTATCTAGTAATAAATTTATAATGTAACCTTGCGACGATATTTTTATTAGCTTCATCAGCTGATAAACATATAAGACACAAGAAATATATAACTCCACAATATTAGAGTTAAACACATCTTTAACCTTATTTAACCCCTTAACCTACAATTTTCTAGGCAGTTGCGTCATTCACAGTTAACTAATCGCTGCAATGTGAACATAGATAAAGAACATTGAAAAGCTAGACACATTTAATCTTCAGGATCCTCGATTATGAAGGTTGTAATTAAAATTGTACTTAAAATTCAATTGCGATGAAAACACGAGTCTTAGCACATATGTAGTTAGTGCCACGAGTGTGACATAATATTGTAGTGCAAGGAATTAATAATTTAACTTTATTTGGTAAAGTTTTTAGTATCAAAACAAATAACTTTTTGACATACAAAAATGCATAATAATGCAAGTTGCATAATAATAATGCGTTTTATATAAAATAGTTAGTACTACATGCTGTACTAATTAATAATGATTTGATGAAGAGCTTGAGGTCTTCTAAACTACTTTACCACTAAAAAAATTTCCTACCATATTATACCACCTTCTGTATTAGAACTTTGCTAATAAATTTTATTATATCTTTAAAAACAATATAAAGTTAAATTTGATTGGATCACCCTATAGGAAAAGAAATAGAGTAGGAAGGTTCGTGAATGGCTCCCGACGCTAAAAAGACCCGTCACGCGTAAATGCGATCGCGAAAGTGTTAATTCTCCAATCGAATCCGTCAGCTTCCCTTCGAGCGCAGCGTCGAACAAAATGTCGGTTCCTCCGAAAACGGAGGGAAGAATACTGATCTGCCCTTAATCTAACTTAACCCGGGCACGACTTCTGCCGCGTGCAAATCTTGTTTCCACGATTCAACGTACGTAAGTTTCCGCGTTGTTCTTCGAGTACAACGCGATCAGGAATCCACGTGATTTCCCGTCCCGTGATTTCCCCTAAAGAATAATCGGCCGAACGGTGGCCCTGGATTGATCCATCTTCGTCCGTGGATCCGCGATCAGGACTCGTCCGTGACATTCTATCGTTTCGCGTGGCTCCCCCGAGCAAGCACCGTGGAAAGATCTACGAGCCGTGTTGATCGTAGGATCGATCGATCGATCGATCTCGCGCTACGACAACGCCAACGAACGATGCGTTTGCCCATTGTACGACAACGACTCCGTTTCGACGTCCTCGAATCTCGCGTCCTCGTCCGCCAGGTCGACGCCGTAGTTGCTCGAGGTGTTGTCCTCCTCTGCAACAAAAGCAAACCTCACTTAAGCAGAGACGCTTTAGTTAACTTTCATATCGACATATACATGTCAGAAAAGTAACAGAACTTTTTAAATTTAAGGAAAACTAACGCCACCTATTGAAATATGTTATCTAAAAACAGTCTCCCCTACAAAATACAACCATCATTATTGGAATCGAGCAACGAATTGTAAACTTATAGCGTTGCATGCGACAGAACCTTCCGTCACCGTGTCACAAAATCACGGACAAGCGCAACAAATTGCTCACGTTGAATATTGCGAGGATCTTATCAAAACAACCAGACGAAGCTGTACATTCCTGGAATCAATTGTAACTAATGATGAGACTTGGTGCTTCAAGTATGAACCTCGAACAAAGCGCCAAAGTGCTACGTAGAAATCCAGGCTCACCAAAATCAAAAAATTGCGATTCCAGAAGTCTTGAGAGAAGACAATGTTAATTTGCTTTTACGATTCTAAAGGAATTATACTTCGGGAATTCGTTACACAGGGACAAAATGTTAATGGCGAATATTATCTGGTGTTATGAAACATTTGTGGAAGAGGATCGTTCGTGTGAGGCCCGAATATCGAACGCTGGGAAGTTGGTTTCTGTTGCGTGATAACGCACCATGTGAACCGTCGCTATTCGTGAATTTTTGGCGAAAAAACAAGTCTGTTCCAACATCCTCCAAATTCTGACTTATCTCCATGTGATTACTTCCTTTTTCCTAAACTGAAATTAGCTTTAAAGGGACGTTTTATGACACTGTTACACAAGTCCAAGCAGCTGTGACAAGGGTATTAATTGTTTTCAATTCAGAGGAGATGTTAAAATAACAACTCTGTGGGGTGATTATTCTATATCTGAATGAGTGTAAGAGGTTAATAATAAGGATTGAACGAGTTTTCATATCAGATATAAGAAACTCAAATTCTGACCTTTGTATTTGAAGTACAGTTTAATGACTGTCAGACGGTTTTGAACAAGTGACATGAAAAACCTTTGGACTCTCGAAAGGATAGAAGAGTTTCTAACAAGTTCCATAAATTATACCTTAGGGATTTGATTCACGTCACATGAAAGTTCAATTTACAATGTTCAACATCTGATGAAAAATACAAAATTTATGCATAAAGTGCAATTCTGCAATTATCAATTGCAATCATTTCTTCTTGAAGTAGTAAAGGTTTTCTGAGAAAGTGTATTCGCCCATTTCCTTTACAGAGATTGATATTAGTAGCATCAGGTTCAAAATGGCGACCGTCATGAAGAAAAATAATTGTTTCTATCATTGCAAGAAATTGTGCTCATAAAATGTGCTCCACGAAAGCATGTATGCAATTCTGTTCCGATAGATGGGTGTAATAAATTGTGAGCGTTCCACGTATTCCGCACAGATGATTGCAACAAATTGTGAGCTGAATCATGTTGCATATATTTCTTTTCAATGATTACGAACCAATTTGTGAACAGCGATCGGGTTGCATGATTTTGCAACCTCGTTTATTATTTCCTTTTATGGCATATAATAAGCGGTTGATTACTAGTACCTTGGAATCGAAATGGGAATATGGACTCAAGATATCAAATGTCTGTGAACTCTAATGAGGGTTGCTTATATATAATAATCTACTATTGTGATTGCTATCAAATGTGTATCAAGTAGACCTAAATGTGGAACGAGATGAGGTTTTAAGATAGCAATGTTGAGCTTGAAAGTTCAGGATTGTTCACTGATTTTCTAGTTTCTAGATTATCTTTTCAAGAATTTCTCCACATGTCCACATTTAAAAATTAAAAATTCCAATTAAAAAATGTTTAAGTTAAAAAAATTTCAGAATTGGAACCTTATAAAGTTCCTACATTTAATATCATAATAATTAAAAATGGTGTGACAATTAGTCTTCATTGCCTCACACCGCTATTGTCTCCAGAAAAATATTATTCCTAGAAACACTTATAGAAGTATTTCTCCCCATTGACCACATATCATATCTCCCGATCGAACTTTCGACAGGTTAAACAAATTACAATGGCAGTAACGTCAATTGAAATAAACGACCGCCATTCAAAGACAATACAAATTATTCAACCGGCGTAGATATCTGACAACTTAAGAAACAATAATCCTTTATTGTAACGCCTCCTAATGAAATTACGATACACTTCAAAGAATCATTGTAATAGAGAAAGGAACATACTGGAGTCCATTTAGTCCTCGAGGACAGTTGTTGAAAGCATAAACGACATAAAATACGATCGCACTATGAATACAAGGAAAAAATCGCCATAACTATGATTGAATGACTGTATCGATTCAATGATCGCGAACGTTGTGTCAATTTCTCAACGACGTTCGATGAATATCGTGTATTTTTTCTGGATATTGTATAGTCGAATGAATGAAGTATTTACACGCAGGAAACTATAAATAAATATCGACAATGCTGGCAGAATAAACGAGTGATATTTAGGAGGGGGATATTTATACGGTGGCGGTTATAATGCAACTCCCTTGATATTGTCGATACGCGTGACAAGTAGAGCATGCTCAATAAATTCAATCGGATCTTGAAAAATTATAGATTGTACTCGAGATAAAATTGGTAATGCAGGATGCAATAACCTGGTGCGTAAAGTCCCCTGCTAGCAAGTGACGTGCAACAGGTTTCTACGTCTACGTAGACGCATTTCACCTCGGGGATATCGTTTGGGATAATGGACACCGAGAAAAATCCTGATATGCAGATCGAAGCCTACGTTTATCAATTTGCCTCTGTTTGGTACATTGTAAACGTACACGGTAATGTATTCCGATACTAATGCCGATCATTTTCGTACCGGTTATTCAATTATTCATCTTCCATATATCATAATTTTTACGGGTTTTTCTGATATGTTGCTTCATTCCTAGAACGTGCAAGAATTTTCTTACAGAATGTGTTCATTAGTATACATGATTTCTTGAAATTATGATAATTTTATTGCGATATAGCGCAATCTCCAGTAATTTTATTCTAATAATAATTTTATTACCCCGGAGTTAATTTTATTATACCTGCTTTAGTTTTTTTTGTGGAAACGATTTTTATTTATTTTTGTGATATCAAGAAATGAGTTTCATTTATTTCATGTATATGATGAAATAGACTTTACAGTTTTGCAATTTAGTAAAATTTTGCTCGGATTTCGATTTAAGTTTACTCTTTCGGTGCTTGAGAAATGTTTCCTATCTATTTTAATTGACAGATATAAATTTTATTGTTGATTTTATAGTATTTAACACCATACTTATCTTGTCAAAGTTTAAGACACAGCAAGTTATGTCTGCGTCCGATTAGGGTAAGTTTAAGGTTAGGTTAGAATTAAGATAGAATGATAACATCGGGTTAGGTTAGAATTAAAATTACAGGGCAAAGTTAAAGATAGATTCGAGTTAGGTAAAAATTTTCACGGGGTGAAATTTCGTTAAAATTAGGTTAAGGTTAGGACAAGCTAGGCTACTTAGTTATAGTTAGATTGCAGTTAGGTTAACGTTACAATCGAAATAAGGTTAAGTGAAGATTAGATCAAAGTTAAATCAAGGTTAGGTCAGGTGAGGCTAGATCAAGTCAAGTTAGGTAAGACTAAAGGAAATTAAATAAGGTTAGGTCAGATGAGGAACAATTGAGTCAGGTTAGGTCAAATTTAAGGAAATTAGATAAGGTTAGGTCAGATGAGGCAAAACTGAGTCAGGTTAGGCCAAATTTAGGGAAAAAAGATAAGGTTAGGTCAGATGAGGCAAAATTGAGTCAGGTTAGTCAAATTTTGGGAAATTAGATAAGGTTAGGTCTAGTGAGACAAAATTGAGTCAAGTTAGGTAAGATTTATGGAATGTACATAAGGTTAGGTCAAGTGAGACAAAATTAGATTAAGTTAGATTGAATTAGGTAAAATTATGTCAGGTTAGATCGAATTGGATGTGGTTGGGATCTATTAAGTCTAATTTGAACAAGTTAGATCATTTTAATTCAGGTTTGATCATATGATGTTAGGTTTGAATAGATGAAGTTTTTTCGGGTTAGATCAAGTTATGTCAAGTTCTCTCAGATTAGATTCAATTATATCTTATAATATAAAATTGTGTCAAATTATATACAAATATGAATTTTGTTGTGTTGTCCTGTTCAGTATCAGATTAAAGTCCAATTAACGTCATGGATTTGTTCGTATTAGAAACAAGACAATGAGGGGTTAAGCTACGAATACAATCTCAGATACAATGCAGATATAATTTAGTTTCGTATTTGAACTGCAATGTGCGTTAAAAGTGCGTCACGATATTAAAGTCACAGGGTTCTTTAACCTTGTGTAGGAAAATCGTGACAGTTGCAGAGGTGATGCCATAAGCAACTCAGATATCCCACATCACCCCACAAGTGATCAGCATAATCTAACCCACATGTGATCAGGAACGGGTGCGTGAGGAGATTGATTGCGGTGAATACAAGGACTACAACACGAATTGGTTAAAACAAAAAAATTCTCACCTAGACTCTCACGTATTTGAATTGAACTATTGGCCCAAGATTACACACCCAATTAAGCCGAAAAGAATGACAGCAAACGTCTCAAGAGTGCGAATTGCATGATACAGTATCGTCATTATTATTCTTACTTATGTGTCACGCTGCAAATGTTCACCGTGGGATAGGTGTAGGCTTCTTTCGCATCGACCTGCTCACGCGCCAATTCCTGGGTTGTACGCAGTTTAAATTAGTTACGTAGCCGTGTGCGCGTGATAAATCGGAAACGGAGGTCCATGAATTATTCTGTGGTCGGAAGGACAGAAAAGTCTCGAAGAACAAGGCGATAAAGGAGGAGTCCTGGTGCAAGTAGAACTCTAGAATTTCACGGCTAGTTCTCGTCGCAGTTTTCGCGATTGACTTGTTTAACGGGCAAGGCGAGCGAGCGCGTAGGCGCGTATATATCCTCGGAGGCGACTCGAACAAGGCGAATTCCATGCTGGATTACGACGATCTCTCCGGTTCGCAGACGGCTCGTGAATGGCCCACGCCTCCGAGAGAAATAGATAAATGACCAGACGCGTATTCCACTTTATCACAACGCGGTCCACCAGACGAGGAAACCCCTTCGCTGGACGCGAAATCAAATCGAAATTGTCGACTAGCCTTCTGTTAATTCTCCGGGAAAAATGACCTAAACTGACGCTTTTACGAACGAGATTTCTTTGCAATTTCGATCGTTGAACATTTAATGGATTCACATCCCTTTTTCTCTTTGTAGGTTTATCAATTTGTGACACCTTTATGGTTTCGTGTGGAATAAGGTGATCTATAAAATGTGCTTTAGATGAGTTATACATTTTATTTTGTTTTAAGCTATATTTTTGAAATTCTGTGGAGACATTAAAAGAAGTATTAGAATGTAAATCTGTTAATCTGTCATCTAACCTTGTTCCATTCTATCTGTCCCACTTTGAAATTTAAACTAGAATTTTTGTAGTCATGGTTGAGGATACATAGTCGTGAGAACACTAGTGGTTAAAATGAACATATTTGATCTACCACAAGAAATAAGACAATAATTGGAAAATTCTTAGCTATATTCAGAATAAATTTATATACATGTAGTATAATATTGTTAATTTTAAAATGCATATATAATAGAAGTGAAATACGAAATTGTATTTATGGAAGACGAGAGATGTTTTTGGTAATTTTACTAATAATGAAACATGTAATTTATTTATTGGAAATGCAAGAATTTCAAGGAATATGTAGAATAAAATGTAAGGGAGGTTTAACAAGGGTTATGTGGCAAATTGAGGTATGTTACCTTTCGTATCATACGTTGATATGATCACTGAATATCAGTACGTTCAAGACCGCACGAAACATCGAGCGTCACTACTTATTAAGGTGCGTTTCAAACAAGCGAACGAATGCTCGTTTTTATCGAATTTCTGTCAAATTTAACGTTCTTCTCTTTGTTTACGTCTGAGTTTGGTAAATTTCAAAATTTTCAATCGTCAATTTTAACTTGCAAATTTTTAAATTTCGAATTTTTTAGGTTTCTGATTATTAAGTTTTGGAAGCCTTAATTTTTTAATTTACATATTTGAGAATTTTTGAATTTCTGAATTTCTGAATTTTTGAATATCTGAATTTCTGAATTGCTGAATTTCTGAATTTCTGAATTTCTGAATTTCTGAATTTCTGAATTTCTGAATTTCTGAATTTCTGAATTTCTGAATTTCTGAATTTCTGAATTTCTGAATATCTAAATTTTTAAATTCCAAATTCCCTAATTTCCTAATTTCCTAATTTCCTAATTTCCTAATTTCCTAATTTTCTAAGTTCCTAAATTCTCAAATTTATAACCTTTCAAATCTCTAATGCAATTAGATTCCCATGTAATCAGATTTTGTATGTCTCTAGTTCCCCATATCTCTGAATCCGCATATCCTTAAATATTAATATCCTCAGATCATCCCATATCTAAATACTAATATCCCTAGATATCCTTAGATCAATAGATGGTCTATTCATATATCATCTATTTGTAACTCCCCAAGATTTTCATACTCATAAATTATAATATTCCTACTTCTTGAAATCCTATATTTTTCATGTCCCTAGATTACCAAACTCTCAAAACCAAAAATTCTCCAGATTCCTGAATAAGTCTCCAGATTTCTGTACCTAAATTCTTAACCAATCTCAAAATCTTCAAGTTCTCAAAGGTTCTTATAATTCAATGACTAGAAGCCTTTTCCTAGAGACTTCAGTTTTGCCACTGATACCCTAATGTATCTGGACTTTTCTATGATACTTTCCCTAGGGAAGCCAAATTTGCTCTTGATACTTTCCTCAAAGATACCAGATTTTCTGGTGATACTTTCCTTACAATACTTTCCCTAGAAAATTAAGATTTGCCTATGATATTGCCAAATGATATTTTCCCTAAATCTCCACATTCACTGATTTACTGGTGATACTTTCCTTACAATACTTTCCCTAGAGAATTCAGATTTGATATGATATCGCAAATTGCCAAACGATATTTTCCCTAAATCTCCACATTCACTGATTTACTGGTGATACTTTCCTTACAATACTTTCCTTAGAGAATTCAGATTTGCCTACGATATCGCAAATTGCCAAATGATATTTTCCCTAAGTTTCCACATTCACCGATGAAGCTTCCCCCACAATGCCCTCCCCAGGGAGGCAGATTTAGCGATGCACGTAATCGCGTGACACAGGGACTTACCGATATAGAAAGGAGAGGTGTCGTAGGCGTTGCAGGGGCCGGCGTGTCGCGTCTCGAGGACGAAGCCGGTAACGCAGGCGTCCTTGACGATGTGACACCAGCTGGGATAGGTGATATTGTTCGTGGCGCACAACATGGTCGCCGATGGATCTCGATCACGGTGCGTCCGGTTCCGGACCCGCTCCCGCTTCCGGGGACAACGATAGGTGCAGGTTACGCAACGTGGTCGGCCTGACTTCATCTCCGACAGACACGTCTGTCCCTCTCGACACCGAATCGTCGTGCAGTCCGCGTTCTCTATAAATAAAAACAGCCACATGCGGTTACAGACTGCTCGTTTCCTTTTTTTCTTTAGCGAACGGAATTTTTTTATCGTTCGATCGGTTTTCTACGTGAAGAGACCAACCATTTTTTTGAGGAATTTTGAATTGTGTTTGCACGGTTTTTAACACGTCATCGTAGTTATATGTGACGCTACCAATTAAATTAATTAGCAGGTGCTAGTTAAATTATTTATAGAGAAGTGTTGAGGTCTCTTAATGTTGACAGTGATATATGCTAACAGATTATGAGATGAAATTGAGAGAGTAAGTACTCTTGTTCTTAACACGTTGAAATGGTCATGTGTGACTGTTACTGCAAATTCAGGTGAATTGATTATTTATGGGATATGCAAATGAAAGATCTTTTGGGTTCTTCAGACGATGATATGTTAAGAGATTAAAGAAGTACTTAATAATCTGTTATAGTGTTTGACCACTAACGTCAGTTTCCACTGTGAAGGTGTGATACTATTTGGGGAGATATTTAATATTTAAGTCATTCATTTCTATGTAATAATAATTATATATTTTTTAATGATATTGTAATTATTGCAACGACAGTTCAATAGATTTTTGAATCGACTATGTGAGTTTGATTACTTTATTTCCTATTTTTATGTTCTTTTCTTTATTTTTTACTATAATTATATTTTTTAATTTCATCTTCTTCATCTTTTAATATTACTCTTTGCTATATTCATTTTTTATGACCAAACGATTGCAATGTCTTCTTAAAATCTCTTTGTTGTAAAATATTATTGACAAGTTTACAGATATCGCAAGTAGTACAAATTTGTAACTTCTTAAAATAATTTAATATCTTCAATTTTTATTTCATACTTCAGTTTTGCAATTTTAAATTATGACGATATGAATTAACACAATTTTTAAAATTACATCATTTGTTAATAGATACTAGTCTTTATAAGAAATAAAAATTTTCTTTATAAAAAAGCACTAGCTTGAAGCAAAAGTCAAATTTTATACAAACTTGATTTGTATGCTCAGGGCACCAGAAACTCTAAGCACTGCGCTGTTTAGCGAGCAATAAACGATTCGATACGTCGATGGCACTTCAGTTTTTGTACTCAGAACGGGATTTTGAGTTTAAGAGGATGTATAACTGTTTTTTTCTTTTTTCTTTACTTTCTTATTGTATCGGACTATGACATCATTTGATACTTCTAAAATTCCTTCCGGGAGACAGTGAGAGGATAAAATTCTGTGCTTTTTTGCTTGATTATTGAGGGGACTCTTAATTTGCTATTCGAACTTAAGACTTAATAGTTATTTGTGGAATGACGTAATGAATGACATAATGGAAGTGTTTACAAAATGTTATTAAAGTTCATGGGAAAGATTTTGTTATACAGATTTATTTACTTTTGATGAAAGTTCAAGTGTAATTTAATCAGACATAATATATAACTTAGTTAGTTAGATGTATTTTTTAAGTTTTCAAATTTTAGAGTTTGCAAATTCTCAGATTCACAAATTCCAAATTTCCAAAAATATAAATTTTCCAAATCCCAAATCTCCCAAATCCCAAATCTCCCAAATCCCAAATCTCCCAAATCCCAAATCTCCCAAATCCCAAATCTCCCAAATCCCAAATCTCCCAAATCCCAAATCTCCCAAATCCCAAATCTCCCAAATCCCAAATCTCCCAAATCCCAAATCTCCCAAATCCCAAATCTCCCAAATCCCAAATCTCCCAAATCCCAAATCTCCCAAATCCCAAATCTCCCAAATCCCAAATCTCCCAAATCCCAAATCTCCCAAATCCCAAATCTCCCAAATCCCAAATCTCCCAAATCCCAAATCTCCCAAATCCCAAATCTCCCAAATCCCAAATCTCCCAAATCCCAAATCTCCCAAATCCCAAATCTCCCAAATCCCAAATCTCCCAAATCCCAAATCTCCCAAATCCCAAATCTCCCAAATCCCAAATCTCCCAAATCCCAAATCTCCCAAATCCCAAATCTCCCAAATCCCAAATCTCCCAAATCCCAAATCTCCCAAATCCCAAATCTCCCAAATCCCAAATCTCCCAAATCCCAAATCTCCCAAATCCCAAATCTCCCAAATCCCAAATCTCCCAAATCCCAAATCTCCCAAATCCCAAATCTCCCAAATCCCAAATCTCCCAAATCCCAAATCTCCCAAATCCCAAATCTCCCAAATCCCAAATCTCCCAAATCCCAAATCTCCCAAATCCCAAATCTCCCAAATCCCAAATCTCCCAAATCCCAAATCTCCCAAATCCCAAATCTCCCAAATCCCAAATCTCCCAAATCCCAAATCTCCCAAATCCCAAATCTCCCAAATCCCAAATCTCCCAAATCCCAAATCTCCCAAATCCCAAATCTCCCAAATCCCAAATCTCCCAAATCCCAAATCTCCCAAATCCCAAATCTCCCAAATCCCAAATCTCCCAAATCCCAAATCTCCCAAATCCCAAATCTCCCAAATCCCAAATCTCCCAAATCCCAAATCTCCCAAATCCCAAATCTCCCAAATCCCAAATCTCCCAAATCCCAAATCTCCCAAATCCCAAATCTCCCAAATCCCAAATCTCCCAAATCCCAAATCTCCCAAATCCCAAATCTCCCAAATCCCAAATCTCCCAAATCCCAAATCTCCCAAATCCCAAATCTCCCAAATCCCAAATCTCCCAAATCCCAAATCTCCCAAATCCCAAATCTCCCAAATCCCAAATCTCCCAAATCCCAAATCTCCCAAATCCCAAATCTCCCAAATCCCAAATCTCCCAAATCCCAAATCTCCCAAATCCCAAATCTCCCAAATCCCAAATCTCCCAAATCCCAAATCTCCCAAATCCCAAATCTCCCAAATCCCAAATCTCCCAAATCCCAAATCTCCCAAATCCCAAATCTCCCAAATCCCAAATCTCCCAACTTCTAAATACCTCAAACCACATAAACCCTAAAGTCACAAACCTTTAATTTCCAAATTCCTAACCTCTCAAACCATTCAAACTATCAGTTCACTAAATTCCCCAAAATAAAAATCCCCGAACACGCATCCTAACTTAAAACCCAGCCATTGCACCTGAGCAACCATGTCAGAACGTTGATCGCGGAAGATGGAGCGTCAGACAGATTCACGGACGTTCGCACACACGAAGATTAATTTTCGCGAACGTGTACCGACACAGGGACAGGGAACGTGCACGTTACATAATAACGAGTGGCACTGAAAGGAACTGGCTAGTAGTAGAAGGCTACTGTGACGAGGCAGAAACGAGAGACAGGTTCAATCGTCGAATTAGACGCGCTCTATCTTCGTCCGCTCTCGGCCGTTTCGTGCGGTGACTCGTTCGCAGACACGATTACTGCAATCATATATGTCGTTACACCTACTTCGGTCAATGGCCCACTTCTCACGGGGGGGGGATCTCGTAATGTATTGCTCATTTTTTTATTCTGCCAGTCGTGAACGCACACGCGACCCGATGAAACGTTACGCAATTCGTGCATTGCCCGTCGCGTTTAAGATAAATCACGTGGTACATCTGCATGGATTTATTCTTCTTCCTTTTGATGATTTATTTTTCTCTCTACTTAGATATTCGTATAAATAGAATGTTGGGAAGTTTCAGGAATTTTCTATTTTCAATTATTGAGATGAGTAATTGAAGAGTGCAGATAAAGGTTATGGACGCCATTTTTAATTATAGAATGGCATAGGACAAATTTATTCTTCCCTTTTTATTTTTATATGGATGTTTGTTCAAATAGAATGAGAAACTGAGGACATATTTGGAATATTTTCTGAATTATTGAGCTGAGTAATTGAAGAGTACAGACAAAGGTTATGGACGCCATTTTTAATTATAGAATGTCATAGGACAAGTTTATTCTTCTCTTTTTATTTTTACTTGGATGTTTGTTCAAATGGAATGAGAAACTGAGAACATATTTGGGGAATTTTTGGAATTATTGAATTTAGTTATTGAAGAGTGCAGACAAAGGTTATGGACGCTATTTTTAATTATAGAATGTCATAGGACAAGTTTATTTTTGTCTTTTTATTTCTACTTGGATGTTTGTTTAAATAGAATGAGGAGCTGAGAACATATTTAGAATATTTTCTGTATTATTGAATTTAGTTATTGAAGAGTGCAGACAAAGGCTATGGACGCCATTTTGAATGTAACCGACAGTCAAAATTCTGTAAAATAAAACGTAAAACCAGAAACCAACCATTTTGAAGTACAAATAAAATTCTGAAAATTAATTTATATTCAACAAAGAAAATAAATTGTACGCTACAAAATTGAACATATTACAAAATATAATAAAGAAGATTTACCCGTTCGAAAAAGCAGGAATGAAATAATACGAGAAATTCTTGTTCCATTACTGTCCGGACAGTGAGTCGACGGTGAAATATCAAAAGCATTGTAACGATGTATCCTTGCGTCGCTAACAATAAACGTCATAAAAGACACATTTGTTTGTCTGCCGGACGTCTGATGTACAAAATGGCGGACGTACATTCCTCTGTCTGGTCTAGGGTTCCTAGTGCACGCGTAAGTCACGATCATAGCAATCATCGTATCACCGTCATATGTAGTTGTAGTCTGTGTGTTGTGGACCACGTGGCTGTACTAGATTAATATTAAGTGATTCACGCTCCGTAATGTGATCCTTGTTGTTAGACACGAATGCTTAGGCTACACTGCGTACTTTTATATGGAACTTCGCATCAGATCCCGTATCCCGTTGCGTTGTTACACCGTGTAGCATTATGTATTGTTACACGCTCAGAGACATCTGCTTAGCGGGAGCAATTGAATTTATTAAGACACATTACGCAAATTGTAGCACGGAGAACATTATACTAATGAGAATACTGCGCTACATCTTTATTAGAAAAATATATGGGAACGAGACACGAGAGCTTATAGAGATATTGACTCGGTGATTCTTATAGCTTTCTGTCTTTGTT